TTGGACTTCTAGCCTTCAGAACTACGAGAAAATACATTTCTGTAATTTAAGCCACCAGACTGTGGTACTTTGTTCTGGTAGCCCTAGCAGGCTAAAACAGAGAGCATGTGCATCTTAGCATCACACACTGAAACAGTCATAGATGACATGACAGGCTGCCTGGGGTTTGCTCCAAAACAATCTTTGAAGGGGGACACAGGAAGGGGTGGTCTATAGCTGGAATAAGATTGGCCAAAAGCTGAAAAACTGTTGAGACTGAGTGATGGGTTTATCCTGAGTTCATTTCACTATGCTCTCTAATTTTCTATAGTTTGAACAATTGCATAATAAAAAGTTGAAAGAAACAGCTGAGAGGAAACAAACAGTGTGAAAGAGCTCCATCTATGGCTCTCCACCTGGGGGGACCTTGTATTCTTGGGGCTTGGCCCTGGCGTTGGTATCCTTTAGAAGTTCCCCAGGGGAATTCTAATCTTGATAACCATGGGCCTACACTAAGAGCCAGAAGTTCTTTATGGGAAAAATAAAGAAAGACTTCAAGGGAAGTTCCGTACACCTGGGTGAGAAAGTACTATGACAACAAACTTCTCCAAGTTAATTTATACAATAAAATTCCTATTCCAAAACTGTGATACAGGGACTTCCCTGGTGGTCCAGTGGTTAAAACTCCATGCTTCCAGTGCAGGGGTGCGGGTTCAATCCCTGGTCGGGGAGCTGGGGTCCCATGTGCCTCACGGCCAAAAAAACAAAACAGAAAACAGAAGCGATATTGTAACAAATTCAAGAAAGACTTTAAAAAGTGGCCCATATCAGAAAGCCTTTTTTCAAAAAAAAAATTGTGATAGACAGTGTGCTAGAATTCACCAAAATCTACCTTCCCTCTCTGGGAAGAATGCACCTCCCCCACCCAAGTGAAGTTAGGCTTGACCATGTGATATGCCTTGGCCAATCAGCTGTGACTTCTATGGGTACCACTCTGCCTGGAAGCTGCTCGGTGAACCTGGGTCCTTGAGAGAGGACTGGGATGGGACACAGAACCCCTCAGCCAACCCAGGACAGATTTGCTGTCTGAGGAAGAAATAAATCTTTGTTTTTAAACCACTGAGATTTGGGGGTTGTTTCCACAGCATAATCTAGTCCGTCTTGACTGGTAAAGAAGTTCAACACAGAACTTGACAAAATAATTCTAAAGTTCAATGGAAAAAAAGAAACAAGCAGGAAAGTCTAAAGCACGCACTGAAGAAGTGATGAGTCAGGGTGACTCTTATCAGAAATTAAGTGATATCACAGAGCAACAGTAATTAAAAATGAATAATATTAGGTGTAGACGGATTTTCCTGGTAGTCCAGTGGTTAAGACTCCTTGCTCATTCGTGTCCAACTCTATACGACTGCATGGACTGTAGACCGCCGGGCTCTGTTCATGGAATTCTCTAGGCAAGAATACTGGAGAAGGGTTTTGCCATTCCCCTCTCTAGGGGATTTTCCCCACCCAGGGACCAAACCTGGATCTCCTCCATTGCAGGCAGATTCTTCGCCATCTGAGGCACCAGAGAAAAGCTAAAGTCATATCAATAGCACTTTGTCGTTCAGTTGCTAAGTTGTGTCTGATACTTTGCCACCCCATGGGGTGCAGCACTCTAGGCCTCTTGTCCTCCACTATCTCCTGGAATGAACAGTGCTTATGGAAGCACTAATACTTTCTCAAAGCTACCAAAGATGTTTTTGTTTGGATTTCAACAAAGCACTGGAGTTTTGGATTTTTGACCTAAGGTCACATTTGTTGGACCTTATTAACTGATGGTTAAACAATGCATCTGAACAGGTCAAAGATGTACTGATAAACAAAAGAACTAAATAGCACAGCTAGAAAAATCATCCATATCTTTTAGGTCACCTGTCCTTCTGAAATACTACTAAAATATAACACACTATAGGAATTTACTTCTAAAATTCTGATGAAGCAAAAGGTGACAACAACAAAGAAGGAAATAGCTAAATTACTATGAAGAGTGTGGGGGCTGAGTTGGCCCTACATGGACTCATCTAATCCCATGGCTCTTCCCTTCTGATGGCCAGCCTCGATGTGTCACGCTCTTAAAAGCAGCTGCACTGCTATTTCCCCTATAGCTCTTCCCTCTATATATGAGCTCCAACCATCCTCACCACTTTTTAAAAAAATATTTATCTATTTGGCTGTGTCAGGTCTTTAGTTGCTGAATGTGGGATCCAGTTCCCTGACCAGGGATTGAACCTGGGCCCCCTGCATTGGGAGCATGGAGTCTTAACCACTGGACCACAGGGAAATCCCCCATCCTCATCTTGAGGAGCCAGTTCAAATGCTTTTTTCTGGGAGAACACTTCCTTCCACGAATGACTCCTTGCCTACAGAGAAAGAGGCTGGTTTCCCCACACTGCGGTGGTGTGCCCACCAGACCCTCTCTACAGGTTCACTCATCATACTGTACTGTAATTATTATTGACATTCCCATCTGCCCCTGGAGAACTTATTTATCTTGGCCACACAGAGCACTCCTAATCTCTCACTAGCATTAATGGATCTTCAAGTATCTGAGTAAGTCGAACATTTAATAAGCTGTTACTGTATGTTAGGCACTCAATTGCCGGCTAAGTCCTTAGTAACCCACATTTAATTGCAAAATTGTAATCTTCACTTTGCCGGTGAAGAACCTGGAATTGAGGTTAAGCAAACTCAAGGACACTCGGCCAGCCAGTGGCAGGGCCGGGGTGGCCGCTCGGCGACCACATCCCACACTGAGCAACTCTTCTCTTCCCCTGTGGCCACTAGACTTCCGGACTTGGGTGTGAATGCCCCCTAATCTAATCTCCTGTCCCTATGGCTCAGCACGCTGTGGGGCAGGGACCTGCACCACACATACCCAGCTCCTCTCCAAGGATTCTGGAGGCTGGGGCGGCAGATCCAGGCTCTCATCTTGCCTGTTTTGCTTACTGGCTCTGTCTCTCTGCCTGAATTACCTAGCCTCTCTGTGCTTCAGTCTTTGCATCACAATTTTACTAACCGCCTCGAGGGCTGCTGCAGAGGTGGGAGGGATTCTGTCCATGGGAAAAGGATGTTTCCCTGTGTCGGGCACGTGATCAGTGTTCTCGCTGGTATTTCTTGTCTTGTTGGCACTTCATGCTTTTAGCACTTCATGCTCCCATCCCAGATCCTGTGGCCAAGCAAGCCATACCTCCCCATTCTCTACTTGTGAGGATGAATTTGTACATCCAAGTACAGGGCCTTTTTCTTTTTTTGATGTGGTCCAGTTTTAAAGTCTTTATTGAATTTGTTATAATACTGTTTCTGTTTTATGTTTTGGCTTTTTGGCTGCAAGGCATGTAGGATCTTGGTTCTGTGACCAGGGATAGAAACTGCGCCCCCTGTATTGGAAGGTGAAGTATTAACCACTGGACCACCAGGGAAGTCCCAGACCTTATCATCATTCCCCATTATTTTCATTTTTGTTAGATGCTGTTTCTGTCTTTTGGACCCAAACCTGTCTCCCACTTACTCACTATTCTCCACGTGCCTGTTGTTCAGTTGCTAAGTCGTGTCCCCATGATCTACAGCACTGCAGGTTTCCCTGTCCTTCGCTATCTCCTGGAGTTTGCTCATGTTCCTTGAGTCAGTGATGCAGCCATCTCATCCTCTGTCACCCCCTCTTCTGCTCCTGCCCTCAATCTTTCCCAGCATCAGGGTCCCATGTTCCTGTCTTATGTGTAAATCTGGGGTTTCACCTATATCTTCAAGCCACTAAACAAACTGTTGTACAGAAGAGAGTCTGTAAAATGGGTGTCTTTAGGTGGGAGTGCATACCAAGGAGGAGTGGGATGGGGAGCCCCCCAGCCAGGCACAGAGCAGGTGAACCCGCTCATGCTTCCCTACCTGCCCTTACATGCCACCAAGGGCAGAATAAACTGGAACAACCTTGCTGGAGGACAATCTGACAATATGTATAAACATGCATAAGAAATGCTGACTCTAAAAATTCTACTCCTGGAAATTTACTCCCAAGAAGTCATTAAAGAGAAGAAAAAGATTCTATGTAAAAATATTCATAGCCTCATTATTTAAAATGCTGAAAAACTTTAAATAACCTAAATGACTACAAAGAGGAATGGTTAAATAAACTATAACAGGGTAATCACAGCAAGGTGGCTCCTTAAAAAGATTAAATGACTATGCATCTTTATGTTAGTGAATATAAAATTATTTAAATTAAGTCACCATAGATATACATCCTATGACTGCACTCAAAAACTGTACACATAGATCAAAGAATGGGAGGATGAAGAAATAGAAAGTTATGGTGAGATTGTAGATATAATTTTCATTTGTTTCCCACGAAAACACATTATAATTGATTTGCTTATGAACACCCCACAGGTTGGTACATATATACAGACACATATTTTAAGTGTTTATTATTTATGAGTGTTCACAGTTAATCTGAAGGAAGAGTTAAATAAGATTCAAGAATGAGCAGTCCAGAACAGAGCCTTACCTAGCACAGGACTTCAATTAAAGTCAAGAAGCATGTGTCTAAATATGAGATTCAATTTCTGTCCTCAAGCAGCCTGAAAGCCACTGGGTTGTTAAGGTACCAGATTCCCTTCCCCCTGGCATCCACCAGCCTCATCACAGCGTTTGCCTGCCAGTCACGATCCTGAGGAATGAGTGAAGGGCATTACCTTACCAGCAGGGGGCGCTGTGCAAGACCCTCCCCTGTGAGTTTTAGCTCCTGCCCCTGAGATGGCATGAGAGGAGGGTGGTTCCAGGGCCCCACCGAGCTGCTGTTGGGAGGCATAGCTTCTTAAATGCCCTGCTGTTACAATTGTGTGCCTCACCAGCTCTTGCACATGGGCACAAACTCTAAACTCAGAAAAGTAAGGCAGACGCAGACGTAGCAGCACAATCGCAGTGGGAACAGGAAAAAAAAAAAGGTTGGGGGGGAACTCCGCTTAGCCGTGGCCCCAGCTTACCGTAGGTGAACATGCGTGGCGAGGTCAGTTCAATGTTGGGTAAGGCGCCCAGGTGGTTCAGCACAGCGCACCGATAGCCATTTTTCTGGGCATAGTCGACAAAGGTGCGGATGTACTGCTTCTCGCTGTGATTGGCAATTCCAGGGCAGATGACCATGGTGATGTCATCTGTAAGGTGGAGAAGGAGATTCTGAGATAGCCAATAAATACTGATGTGGTAAATGGACACAATTATACTTCATTGGCTTAGAAAACAGTAGGAGAGAATTTAACATTCATCTTTTCACTCCACTTTCTGAGACAGAGTAACTTTCCCTTCTAGCTGGAACTGTCTATGTCAGTGCTTCTCAAATTATTTATGGTGAAGGGTCAGTTTTTAAAAAGTTCCAATCCATATGGGCAGATGCTTTTGAAAAATAAAATACAGTAAAAATTAATTACTAGAAAAATAAAATGAAGAAATACAAATCTCAATTTTTTATTACTAGATTCAACAGATATAAAACTACTCTGTCAAACTGCCATACAAATTTCTGAGCATCACTCTGAATTTCTACATGAAATCTGTATGAATGAATCAATGAACAGAAAAATAAAAAAGCTGTGTTGCACAGACTTCTTTGATCTAGCAATTTTACTTTCAGGTATTAATTCTACAAATATATGGTACATACACAAAGCAATACATCTGCAGTAATGGCAAAAATCTGAACATAATGTACATGTCCAGAAACAGGGGTCTGGTTAAATAAGTTTTTGCATATCCAAATGAAGAAATATTATATAGTCCTTAAAAATAATGAGACATCTTTATGTACACTCCTAAGGTAAGCTCTCCAATAGGTATTAAGTGGAAAAGAGCAAGATGCAAAAAAAGGCTATGATATGTTATCATTTTCGGGTGGGGGAAGACATCTATATTTATAACTGCATCCACTAGCTCTGGAATCATATTCATGAGTCCTAACAGTTGGTACCACTGGGGTGTAAGGGTGGGAGAGAAACTTACACTTTTACTGTATGTCCTTTAGTAACTTTTGAATTTTCTACCATGAGTATGAACTACCTACTTGAAAATATGAATGCATTTTTCTTTAAAAGAAAGTGGTATTTAGGTTATTAAATTAATCATAAATTTTTCTTCTAAAACTTGAGACAAATAATTTTTAAATTGTTATGCAATACTGTATGAAGAACATTAAATTTTTAATAAACCTTGAAATTCCAATTTTTGGAATCCTGCCTTAAATTTTATGAATAAGTATGCTTATCAAAGAATTACTTAAGAATAACAAAATTATAAGCAAGTTAAATGTTCAAAAATTGAATGATTAAATTATGTCATGACCACATAGTAGACTATTAAGCAATCATTAAACTTTTGTTATTAAGGACATTTTAGACTTTTAATGATATGGGAATATACTTATAATGTGTAGTAATTGAAATTTTTCAGTTCTATTTTACATAGAACTGAAGGTAAATGGAACAAAATGTTAACAGTGGTATGCAGGGTGTAGGATTATTGATGATTATTTTCTCTTTAAAAAAAAAAAGTTTCTATGTTATTTACATTTTTTTATGTACATTTTTTAAAGTGAGTATTTATTCCTTTTGTTGTCAGAAAAAAATAAAAAAAGGGAGAAAAAAGGGCTTCTTTCCTTAAAGCATTTCTTGGATGCAAATACTGCTTTCCAGAACTATCTTCATCAATTCTTTCTGGGCATAGGGGTGATAGAAAGACAGAGACAAGTTGGAAAAAAAAAAAGAATAAAAGATTTGTCTTTTTCAACTTTCCACCTCCACCCTAGAAGAGCAGACTGGTTAAATTTTGTGCTTCAATAGGAGAAGAAGAGCATTAGATGCAAGGGAAAAAAAATATTTAACTGGGTTTGGTAGAGAGGTAAATATTTGAAAGATCAGCTACAAGACTATAAACACACTGTGAACTCCCAACTTATTCATTTATTCATTCCTTCTGTGACTGTTTATTGGACTCTGGAGGATTCCAACATTCTAGCAGACAGATAATAAACAACCACACAAATAAATTTAGAGAGTGGCAGGTACTATGAAGAACCTGAGCAGGAAGGTGTGATGGATTTCCTGGGAAGGATCAGGGACCATCCCTATGAGGAGGTGACATTGGCGCTCAGAGCTAAGTCATGTGAAAGTCTGGGACAAGCATTCCTGACAGAGGGAACATAAGCTACGTTGTCACTAGCTACTCAGCAGTTCTAAGTGCTTTAAATAACTGAGAGCTATAATAATATACTTACTGGAATTCACCCCTAAATATTTACTGAGCTCCTATTAAAAAAAAAAAAAAAACAGGTGACTTTGAATACTATAGAAATCAAAATACATGTTCTCTTCTGGTAGAAACAACATTCAGAGGATGCTGCCATCTAACTCCACTTCCTCAAAAGTCCTCATTGTGAAGCTTTTTAATGCCTGTTTATTGTGCAGCCTGGACAGAACAATGAGAGTTTTATCAGCAATAGAAACTGTGGTTTCTGAGAAATAGGTGTCCCAGACCCCTGAAAACCTAAGCAGAGGGTACCTGAGAGCCTTTGTTACCTCCTGTTGTCCAACAAAGAAGACTAGCTACACTGCATCTATAAGCTTTGGTTTCCTCATCAGTAAAGTAGGGATAATAAGGCACTGATTTTTCAGGGTGGTTGCGAAGATTAAATGAGATGATAGTATATATGAAACACTTAGACTAGTCCAGCTTCTGTTGCCGTCATCAAACCAGAGATCTGATACTGGGGGCTCCAGGTTCTTACACAAACCTTTCTATTTCACAAGAGGACTAAAAAACCGTATTCAACAATGCTCTCTGCAGAGCCCTACAAGGCACTCGGCCAGCACATGCTGGAGCCAGTCCTTGCAGGTGGTAGCTAAGTGATGCACCTCAGCTGATGTCCTGTGGGCCCCCTGGATGCGATGGTGACAGTCAGTGGTTTGAGCATTTATACCGAGCTCCCTCAGGGATTAATGCTCACTCCCTGAGTGCTGGCCCAATCCCACAACCTGAACTAGCTCACCTCCCACACAGTGCTCAGCCAAGGGCTCGAAGAGGTCAAAGGTCGAAGTGGCTCCATCAGACATGGTGATGAACTTCCGGTGCCCATACGGGTGGGGCGACCTCACCCTTCCCATCTTCCCATACAAGGCTGTTTGGATGTGTCCACTTTTCCCCCAGATCAATGGTGGGATATATCTGAGAAAGAAGGAGAGGAGAGGTCAATTTTCCCACACTCTTGGAATTACGCTCTAAAAAACTCTTGCAACAAAAGCTTTTCAACCTTTTTATTTTCCCCTGACAAATTCCGTCCACTAAGCACAAATAGGATATTTTTTTCAACCTTACATCCAGGCCATGATTTACTCCTTTTCCCACCAATGCATCAGATTAGCTTTAGAAATCAACCAGGACATGCTTATATAGACAAGATTTCAAATTGAAGGTGTTAATTAATTCAACATGGGTTATTTCCATAATGTAGAACAGAAAGAAAGCAACTAGTACATTTTGAACACATGCTACTTGACAGGGTTAGCCTCATTATCAAATGAGCTAACGTATATAAAATAGCTAGCAGGCGCCCACGCACACTAAATGCTCACTTCTTTGCCTTCCTCTAATAAGGCAGCCACAGCTGCAGGGGTGACCCCATGAACACAAACCTGCCGCCTTTGTTAAACTGGGAAGGGCTGAAAAGCTCCTGAGAGTCTGTCGAGTGCCTTGTGCGTGTCTGTGTGTGTTGGGGGGGCGGCATTGTATGCTCCGGAGAATGTGCTGTAAGGGCAGAGCAATGTAAATATTTGTTGGATTAATGAAAGATAAAGTCTTATTAGCACAAGCAAGGCACGACACCACCCTAACAACTGTCCTTCGTGAAAACACAGTGACTCTGGTCGTCAGAGGGAAGTGCAAAAATCACAAACTAGTTAATTACTGGGAAAAACAAGGTGCTCCAAGTTACAATTGAGAAATGATTACAGTTCACAATCACAGTTTGCCAGATGATCCCATCTCCTGAAACTGCTATCTGTTTCTCTTCTTTGGCTTTGAGCCCCAGCTTGATGGTCAAGCAGGATTTGGTACTGACGTCAACCCTTGATCTCTGTAGTGTATCACAGTGGTGAACACTTTGTTAAGAATTTACCTTAATGTGTTTGTTTGCTGATTCGAGACTATCTTTTCTATCAGACCAGATGATCCTAGATCCTCTCCTTAAACCAGATTTTCTCTTTTTTATTTTTTCCTGGTAATTCATTAACTCTGTTAATTCATCACAAGGTTGAAGAGAAGGGAAGTTATCACCTTAAGCAAGCCAGTTCCCAGACATGCTTCTTCTGTGGGGGCAGGGAGGACAAGGAAGAGTATTTTAAAACCTAAGGACATGAAATCACTTGCCAATGTCACACCACAGGTGCAAATCTCAGTGCAGAGACCATGGCCTTTGGAAAGCAGGCAAAAGCATTTATGAGAGGAGTGGATTATGACAGCAACAGAGAGCAAGCCTATAAAAATAATGTCAGTTGAACAGCTGAATACCAGACAAGATTTACATAACAGAATTTATGGAGGGTTTCAGACTACTTAGGGGCTTCCCAGGCGACTCGGTGGTAAAGCATCCACCTGTAATGCAGGAGACCTGGGTTCAATCCCTGGATTGGGAAGATCCCCTGAAGTAGGAAATGGCAACCCATTCCAGTATTCTTGCCTGGGAAATCCCGTGGACAGAGGAGACTGGCAGGCTACAGTTCATGGGGGTTGCTAAATAGTCAGACACGACGACTAAGCAACTAAACAACAAAAACCTTGTTGAAAAATGATGAGGATGACCGTCAGACTACTAAATTGGACAATAAATTGTGCATAGGGGTAGGGGAGTGGTCCAAGAAACTAAACTTCCAATCGCTCCTGGAGGAAAGGTTGGGAGAAAATTTTGTTTATGACGTAAATTAAAAATGGAAATGTTCTGAGGTTAAAAATGTCAGAAGAATGGGTTAAATTTCATGTACTTATTTTCTGATCCTGTTTGGAATACAATGTAATCTTAGAGAAGATGACAAAAGAATAAAATTTCCATTTGGCCAGTCACAGATTTCCTGTATAATCATGACACACGTGATGACCCTGAGAGGCCATGCCCCAGACTCAAGGTCCTGTCAGCACCTCTGAGTCTTGGCATCTGCCCCCCTCAAGTGGCCTCTTAGCCACTAGTCTTGTTCCCGCTGACTCTGGCATCCCCTGACCGGTGGAGAGATAACTAACATATAAACCTGGCCACAGTCCTCCATTGCTTGAGTCCCAGTAGCTTGGCTTAGGAGGCCCACCACACTCTAGTGCCTGCCTACCCTTTCTGCCTAAGCTCCAAAAAACCTGAACCACCCGCCCAGCCCCATCCAGGAGCTATTTTTATCCCAACTACCTTTGCTTAGGCTGTTTCTTCTGCCTGGAATGCTCTCTCCTCTCTTTCTTTTAAATAATTATTCATTTAAAAAATTATATGTATTTATTTTTGCTGCGTTGGGTCTCAGTTGCCCCTGGCAGGCTCTTTGTCGCGGTGTTTGGGCTTCTCTCTAGTTGTGGTTTTTGTAGTAGTTGTGGCAGGCGGGCTTAGTAGCCCTGTGGTGTGTGGGATCTTAGTTCCCTGACCAGGGATTGAATCTGCGTCTCCTGCATTGGAAGTCCCTCCTTCTCTCTTTTTACATCCAATGTTTCTCCTGCCCAGCTACTACCTGCCTCTCAAGAGTCACTTCCAATCAGATTGTTGGGGGAGCTGCCCCTTCTCTGTGTCCCCTGGCAAAGCACCCACAACCTAACTCCACTCCGGCACTCCTGAGGCTTCATTAAAATACTCTCTTTTCAAGAACACTCCTCCCTGCCACCCGCAGGAGCCAGACTCAATCTCCCTTGTGTCTGTCCTCGTGGAACTAGACACACTAAACACGTAGGGAGGACTTGAGGATGGAGAGTACAGACCCACTGGTGTGAAAAGTGAAAGTTGCTCAGTTGTGTCCGACTCTTTGCAACCCCATGGACTATACAGTCCATGGAATTCTCTAGGCCAGAATATTGCAGTGAGTAGCCTTTCCCTTCTCCAGGGGAATCTTCCTAACCCAGGAATCAAACCAGGGTCTCCTGCACTGCAGGTGGATTCTTTACCAGCTGAGCCACAAGGGAAGCCCTCTGAAAAGACAAAGATATGATTAAAATATCATATGCATCATAATAACGTGAACTTGGCTGTGGCATGATTGGTTTGGCTGCTGATCTCTTTCCAGGCTACTTAGCACTGTTCTCAGACTGGGTTGGGATGAAATTCTCAAGTCGTGTGTGAGTATGTGCATGCGCGTTTGTGTATGAGAATAAGTGACTGCCTCAGGGTCATCTGGAACCTTCAGTGTAGAGTCAGTTGTGCACAGAGGAGGTTTCATAATCTATCATTTTATGACACTACCACCTACTGATAAAACACTGTCTTTAATTAACTTCATGGTAACACAACACGAGGGCTTACACAATTGAGTTTCTGCATAGCATTTACTGCAGTGGAACTTTACTGTGTGTTTTTGTTTGTTTACATAACCAATCCACAGATCAGAAGGAAAACATTAAGAAATGAAAAACCAGAATAGGTGCCTAGTTACATGGTTTAGCTCAGCGAAGAAATTTGGACCGAAACAATGGAACATTTGAAGTGTGTATGAATATGGAAACATTTAAGAAACACTGCTGAAATAATACATGGAGGAATATGTTTTACTCTAACTACCTATGGGGTACTTCATCCAAAAATACGGCTGCCAATAATTCTACCTATTCCTGTCCCCGAAAGCCACTCTTCCCATTAGGAGCTAGAAACGTCTGTACACCCTGTGAGTCCAGGCAGGTCTGTGATTTGCCTGGACTGGTAGGACGTGGTAGGAGGCCTGCTGCCCAGATCTGGGCCTGACCCTTCAGGAATCTGGCAGCTTCTTCTTGTACCTCCTTGGAAGCCTGGTGCTATGCTATAAAGAGGGGCTTCCCTGGTGGCTCAGGCAGTAAAGAATTCACCTGCAATGCAGGAGACACAGGTTCAATCCCTGGGTCAGGAGGATCCCTGGAAGAAGGGAACAGCAACCCACTCCAGTATTCTTGCTTGGAGAATTCCATGGACAGAGGAGCCTGGCAGGCTACAGTCCTTGGGGTCACAAAGAGTCAGATACAACTAAGCGACTAAGCACAGCATATGCAATAAAGAAGCCAGGTCTTGACTACACAGTGATGTGGGGAAATATGGAGGGGGCTGAGAGGATGAGACATAAAACCTACAGCCTGGAACTTCCCTGCTGCTCCAGCAGCTAGGAATCCACTTTCCAATGCAGTGGCCTTGAGTTCGATCCTCGGTTGGGCAATGGAGATACCGAACCACAGGGCAACTAACCCTGAGAGCCACAACTAGGATCCAGGAAAGCCAGAGATAAATAAATATTAAAAAAAAAGGGGGGGGGGCTTATGTGCATTTTAAATGTTATTGTATCACCAAACTGCATCCCCAAAAAGAGGGACAAATTTACATTCCCACCAATTGTGTATGAAAGTACCTGTCTTCCTCACTCTCATCAACAATTGGTGTTATCAATCTTTTCTATTTTGGCTACTTTGATAGGCAAAAAATGGATATTTCACTTCAATTTGTGTTTCTTAAGGTTGATCCAATATATGGCCAAAAGTTTCTTATTTGAATTTGCATTTCCTTGATTCATATGCTTATTAGCAATTTGTATTTCTTTTCTGTGAACTGTCTATTCATATCCTTCATCCATTTTCTATTATACTTTTCTTTTTTCCTTTTTATCATGCCTGCATTAAGTCATTATATATATTTTGCAAAAGTTTTCTCCCAGACTATCCCATTTATCTGTGTGTGGGTGTGTGTGTGTGTGTGAATTAACTTCACAAGCATGTGCTGAGCACCTATTGCAGTCATCATGAGATGACTCTCACAGCCATGGTTTGGGATGACCAGAGGCAGAAAGGAGAGCTGTAAGGCCTGAGAACCACCATCCCCACCCACCGCCTCACCCTTTATGGAGGGGCTGGGGGAGGAGAGCTAGTGTGGAAGTGGGAAAGGCCTAGTCAGGGATCTCAACACCTGAAAACATCTCCTTCTTTCTTTTAACTGCCATGTACTGTACTGCATATTTTAATTTTGTCTTTCACCT